CAATAAAGGGGTTTGGATCATAATGAGAATGGGGCCACAACAGCCAGCCCCTAAAGACTACAACAAGCGATTTGAAGGTTTTAGGCACAGGGAAGACCAAGACAGAGATGGATCGATATAGTCAGAGAGACGCACCAGGAAAGAATGTGTAGAATGTCGGGCAAATACATCTTCTCTTGACACGTTTTTCTTTGTTGCTAATTTTTTGGTTTTGTTGTTGTTGGTTTTTTAAGTGTTTTACAGTGCTCGCAAATGCATATGGTCATATGAGCGCACGGGACACATCAAAATAATATTTTCAGTTGGTAGGAAATTTTGAATTTTTACCCGGATGGCAGCCAAAGCCTACTCATCGATTTTGGTCAACAAAGGGACTTTTTTGTGCGCGCAACTTGTACACGGGACCTCCGAGATTTGTTGTTCTTGTCCGAGAAGGCTAGGTGTAGATCTTTCTTACCATAGGATCAGGGGTGTGGCTGAAAGACAGCAGTAAGAAGGAGCCAAGGAGAATCAGCAGAAAGGCTGCGGAAAGAGTCAAGAGCCCAGAGGAGGGGGCGAAGGCGGCAAGGGGGATGGGGGCAAAAATTGGAGACGAAAGCAGTCGACAGAACATTGTTAGAGAGCAGGAAAGGATGTGAAGGAGAACTTTTAGAGGAGAAAATTTTCCGTCACTATCCGGATTCGATGCCGGGACCTATTAAATGAAAGGCGAAAACCTTAACCTCTAGGCCACGAAAGCCCCCCCTCCCCCCAACCTCCACCCCCCCTTTGAAACTTTGCAGTATAGGAGGACAGTTAGTAGAAGTAAAAGTATGCAAGTCCTACAGTTCCTTTGGTTTCTTCGTTTTCAGAGACTTAGACTTAAACGCCATATCGTCTTCTAGAGGACCCAGCATTTCAAGGTCAGTACACCAAGTGTTTGTAGATCTTTAAACATAAAAGCTAATACACAAAAAGCATGCAAACAAACACACAAACTCACATAAATACACACGCACAGGAAAACGCTTACATACACAGATACTCACAACACACACACACACACACACACACACACTCACACGCACACACACAATACACACACATACACACGCAGGCACGCACGCACGTACGCATACACAGACACACGCACACATGCTATCACGCTGTTTTATTCCTTAATCAATTCTTTTATCATCAAAATC